ACCGAGGCGGTGGGCAGGCTGTAGTCATCCTCCCTTCTGAAAGGGGTGTGCAGGGTACAGTGCCTTACACAGATACTGTGCCTTGGCCACAGCAGCTCCATCAGTGCACATCTTGTAGTCCTGGACTTGCAGCGACCCAGGGAATTGCTCTCTGCTATTAAACTGTGGCTATAGACCATTGAATGCAGATACTAAAGCACAGAAAAACCTCTCATCAACTCTTGCACAGTGCTTTGAAATCTTTTTTCTGCACAAGGACAGAGAGACTTTAAGGTGACAGAAATCATGTCCTTTGCCAGCTATGGCAAATGTTTTCAGCAACCTCCAGTAGAAAAGGAAATGCTGTGAGCTCTGCTTTACCATCCAGCACCCCTGGCTGCTGAGGAACCTGGTTTAACTTATTTTTATGTGAAAAGAAAGAGGTAGATAGACACAAACACACACACATCAATACATAGAGCACACACACATACAGACACATAATCTAGGAGGCAAGGAGAGAATCTGTACCTGCATTTGCAATATCTTCCTGCACCAGGTAAGGAAGGCATCTTTTTCCTTTTAACCGGGTGCTGTACCTACATTGTTTCCTCACAGTCTATCTTTAGGTTATAGCAGTTCACAAGGTTTTTTCAGCAGATGTGTTATTCAATTACTTCAGGGCTTTTCCATTTGTAATATTGCGAAGCAATGATAGCCAGCAGACTTTACCTGTCTTTTAGAGATAGCCAGCCTGGTAATTTTAACTCTGCCCATTTTATCCACACCAGTAAATCTCATAACATGGTTATAGAGAGATTCCAATTTTTGTAGAACCTTCTCCTGGGAATTCCTGTATACAATATTGCCATAGTCTGTAATGGAGGGAGCCCCCGGTGGTCCAGGGGAAAATTCACTGCACTGTCACTGCAGAGACCCGGGTTCGATTCCCGGTCGGGGCCCCTCCCCGGGCAGATGGAGCTCGTTAGCCCGTAAGGCAATCCATCTACGTCCTGAGGACCTCGCTGCCACCGTCCAAGCGTGCTTGGCCCCGGCAGATGAACCTCAG